CTTTGACCTTTATAAAAACCGTTATTTGTATAGTAGCCTCTTCTACTTTCTCCAATAAGTTTTCCGTTTTTGTTGGTGTGAAATTCGGTACAAGTGATCGTTAGGGAGAGTTGTAATGTATACTGCTGATTTGTTTTATCAATCTTATCAACAATTATTCTTGCTTAACCAGTTAACTAAAATTTATTTAAATCAAGTTGGCTAATTAATTATAGTTTAACTAATTTAAATCACTATCTAAGATAACTATTATCTAACAAGTTAAATATAAACATATTATAAACCAAATTAATAATATTTTGTAATTGTCATCTTAATAAATCATTATTAAAAAATTAAGGTTTGACTGTTATTTGACAGACAAAAACTTATTAACATTCACTAAGCAATAACTACTAATTTATTATGTTCTTTTTATCAACAATACTTACCAATTATAATGCATATACAAGTGATAATTTTTGTAACTGTTATCTTGACAGGTTATTCAAAACTTCAACCATCATTACACTTACAAATCGAAATATACTCCACAAATATATAACCTCTACGATAAACTGGAGTGTATACAGTTAGTAGATTTACAAACATAGTAATAGTGCAGTTCATATAGTAAATCTCAAACATTTTTTTATAAATTGACAAATGTTATAGTAAAAACATATAAAATCCAAACTGCAATAACACTTTTAACCAGAAACCCTGCATAAATAAAATTATATTTGTTTTAATATGCATTTTAAAGTAATAACACTATTTTTTATTTTTATTGTCTAGAGTGTAGTGAAAATCTCCCAATTTTTATGCAAAGTTCTTGTTTTTGATGCATTTATAATAAAAAAAAAATCAAAACTGTACCAATAAAATTTCTGTTTGCACCGCTGCATGTGTAACACAACAAATTCTTATAGCGGTTTCAGCTTAAGACAAAAAATATCAGATATTTGATAAGAAAACAAAAAAAGTGTTATTACTTTAAAAAGTATGTTAAAACAAACCTGACAAATATAAATTTATTTATGTGGGCTTGCTAGTTTAAAAGTTATTGCGAGTTGAATTTTATTATATATTTTACTACTACTATCGTTGATTTATAGAGAATTTACTGTATGACCCGCACTATGTATTGATTCTGTACATCCCAATGATAGACTCTATTATTTACAAATCGAAAAAACTACGTAATTATGCCTTTGAATTATATGCCATACTAATCATGCAATAAATCATAATAACAGATAATACAATTATTCGATCAATTAATTGATACTTCGTGTTCGATTCAGGCAAAATGCTGCTCCAATACTTCGTATCAGGGAGCTAATCAATATAAATATATTAAAAACTAAAATCCCAACATGCATATGCAAAAGTAAACACGATTATGTATGCGAAATCAGCCACCAAAGTTGCTTTATTGTGCACAAATAAATTAAGGAAGGATTTGTTCATCTATAATGTCCTGAAATTTACCAGTGGCATCTCGAAATCAGGAACTCCTACGAACATTCTTAAATTCTTTATCGTTCCAACAATGCACAACATTTAATCCTCTTTCCTGCAGCTCATCAGAAGGCCAATATGGATCCAACACAATAGAATCCTTCCGAGAAAAATGTATAACCCAAATTTCCTGAGGATAAAGTTGATCGGCATATTTAAAAATTTGTTCAAAATGGTTCTTTAACTTCAGAATAAATCCTGTTGCTATAAGTTCTAATAAAGCTACAGGGTTGAGGTCAGCACTCTTTTTTATTGTCAGATCGGAATAAAGATGGTGCCAGTCTCCATCTTCACAGACCTGCTTGAAATGTCACTGACTTATAATCTCAAAGTCATGATCCTTTGCCAACCAATTCATTAAAATTCGATACATTTCTGCATCGTAAGTACTCTCTTTTGGACTTTTTCATTGCACTTAGTTTCAACTCGCAAATAATTCGAACTTTTATAAGAACGAGTCGAGCCAAGTGTAATTGCATTCTGATCAAAAGTACACACGGCCAACTTTAGCATCTCGAGAATATCTAAAGATTCGTCTGCTCGCAAAGGTACATTTACTCCAGGAAAAAAGAAATTTGTATTTGTGATTGTGCATTGTCTCTTCTTTGGCGAAGATTCCACTATATCTTCAGCTTTTCGTTTTTTTTTCGAGACAACCAACGGTGATGATAATGATGTTGATGACGGTAGTATCTTTTTAGGCTTATTCCATAAGCCAATTACTTTATTAATATCAACCTATGGAAAGCAAAATTGGATGAGAAATATTTTCAGTAAGCACAATTAGACAAAAACAAGATTAGATGGCGGATGCAGGAATATTCCAATAGTTAAATTTTTGTTGACATAAAGGAAGGTACATAAGATTCCTCCTCCAGAACTAGAAACCTTTATCAAAAACTTGTATTACTAGATTCCATAATGTTTACTAAGGCGAACTTAATAAACGCATCCAATTCAGTACTTGTAAGAGTTAGTATACTCCGCTCTCATTAAGACGAACTTAATAAGTACAAGCACCTGGCTGTGACCCATCTGTTTAAATTTGATATTCTTATTGTACTTACTTTTTTATTTTTTAAAATATTCTGAGCAATATTACGAATTTCTTTAGACATATAATTATTATTGCTAATAGCATGTAAGGTATTATAAAAAGCATGATATGATTTCATCTTCTCAGCATGCTCATAGTTATTAATGATTAAAGAAACGTAATGCTGGAGAGACCACCTTTCACATGAAAAAAATTCGAAGTACTTGACATATGGGATATTTTCGGAGTTTTCTCGAACGTAACAGATAGAAGTATTGGACATATTTTGTGTTAGAAACTATATGCAAAAATTGTAAAGCAATTATGTTTTAAAATCACTTATCCTGCAGTCTTTATAAAATTAAAATTAATCGAAAGAGACGCGTTAAGTCATCAATTAAAAAATCGCGTGTATTTAGGGCCTGTGTATTTTCTCCAGTGTGACCACTACCAAAAATTTTATACGTATTCATGTGACAACATTGATTTTTGTCAGTTATTATTTTTCTATATTTGGCAATACAAGTATCAAGTTAATTTTAACGTTAGAGTTTTAAGAATGACTACGTAACGCTAACGCTAAAGCAATAGATAATCTTTTAATATGTCACACCACTATGGGATTTTTATTCCGTCACACACGCATATATTGTGCGCATTCAGGCCAGATAAGGTTTGATCCGAAGTTGGTCCCCACAAAGTGAAATCAGAAAAAACTGGTTAATTAACTAAATTATGCATAATGAATTTTTCATTATGTATAAGAAACACTTATGTGTGGTACGTAGACATTATTTAATTATCCAAGTGTATAATTGATTTCCTTATGTAGAGAATTATCGCATTCACACCGTCTATATATTCCATCCGCTACTTTTTGCAATACATTCATCACAAACCTTACACCCGTGCTTTCACCCTTTAAAGATACGTCACTTTTCGGTATAATTTTGTCTTTATTTATTCGCGAGTATGTTATTCTGATCTTTCATCATTAATATTAAACAGAAAAAATAATATAAATATGGCTAATAAGTGGTATTTGTGTTTGTGACCCGTTTACAAACAAACTATACAGTGATAAGCCTCATAATGATAAGGACAAACTTCTATATGTGATATTTCAGATTTATTCCATTGCCAATTTAATATATATCGATATCGTTAACTTTTATTCTGGAGTAGCAAAGCCACAAATTACGATTTTGAATAATCTAAAAAAAAAAAAAAAAAAATTCATTAGCGGTTATATAAAATTCTGATTACGGAAAATGTGCGCATTGCTGCAAATACACAATTGGTGTGTGATATCAGGTACGTTACCGTACGTGATTTTTATGACAATTTAAAGCAGGAATAGAAAAGTCGATGATTATATGAAATGGCTTCAACTTATTATTATTTTTGCAAGTTCACCTTTTCGCCACCTTTCGCCACCTTTCGCCAGTTTCGCTAGTTTCGCCTAACAATAGTACGATACGATACTAAATTAATGCGAACAAAATAAGTTATTATATAATAATATTTCCAAACTTGAAAAGCTTGTCATAAATTGACTGAAGTGCTTAATATTTTATCATTATATAAATTGCGATAAATATCATTAAATATCGATAAACATTGATAATTATTGATAATTAATAATCGTTTATTAGTAAATTTACGATTAACGCTATTAATTAAAGGATATCTGACGATTACAAGCACCACCGTCGATTCTTATCGATTAAATTTAATCGATGATAATCGTGATGCCATTTGAGGGTCAGATATCTGATTCATCAATTTATCAATTATGATTATCACTTCTCACATACTCATAAAAAGCAAATAAATATGCACAATTTATGCTTTAAAAAACGCCGGTAGAATTTAGAACTTACATAATTGTTTAAAATTGGTTTAACGTTCTCGTATCGATAAAGTAATATTATAAGTATCATTCTTAAAATCCAGTCCGTTGGCACAATGTGTGAGACACAATTACGCAATAATTGTACAAAAAGTAAAGTCATTGTAAAATATGTCTCACAAACCCTCAACTTGCCCAATTTCTGTTATTTGTAATTTGTATATATATGTCATTATATACAAAATTAATAGTTCAGGTTCATCTTTTTTGCTTGATTTTTATTATGATACATCAAACTTAATGTGAAACATTATGATTATTTTTTCTTGCCCGTGAATATTAATCTTATTAATCTTTTAACAAGTGTTATTTAAACTTTAAGTTGTGACGCGTCAAGCCCTAATGCATTCAAGAATAAGTTCACATTGGCAATTTTATGAGATGCTTTGTCTGTTGGTAGCCTTGAAGCTTGTATCACAGTTTCAAGTACTCTTTCCCTTTTAGTCAAAAAAAAAGTGTATATTATTACATCAAAAAATAATACAATAAACATCCAAGTATTAAATAAACATACCTCACTTCAGTAACCAACACATGTTGTTGTTCCGTGGATGCACCAACAGCCATTGCAGCGAGAAATTGCCACACATACATATCATCGATTCCAATCATAAATGGTGGGTATAGTGATATAAAATGGTTTTGCAGAAGACTGAATAATCGATTATATAATTCTTGCCTAAACAAAGTAGCCGATGAATAATCAAACTTAAATTATTATCAAGATTTAGAAAATTTAATTATTAATTTAATCTTAACCCACCATTGTATCATCTCTAGTTCTTCTGGTGGTGGCAATCCTTGCATGGCACCGCCTCCTTGTTTTAAAATTTCAGCACGACTCAAAAACATTGTTAAAAACGCCAAGCCAACCTATTATATAACCAAATAAGGAAATGATTGTTAATTTTTACGATGAAACGTAAAATCACGCCATAAATTTGAATTTTCATTATTCATTGATAACAAATCATCATACCTTACTTCTCGCCACCCATACGATATTATTCCTTTCGATAAATAATCCAAATAATCCAATCACTATCCTTAATGGGGATTCTGCGACAAATTGTAGCAAAGGTGGAACAACAGTGTTCATAAACAGTTCAACTTCCTCTAACATTGTTGGATTAACATTTCCTTGAGGACCCCAAATTGCACCTTTGCATACATCTAATGTTTCAAAATTGGATACTAATACTGTGATTAAATTAAATATTTGTTCAGAAAGACAATGACGTATGACTCGTGGAATCACTTTTTTTCCTTTCGCTACAGAAAGTATGCTAATGAAGGGATGTGGATAGCTTTCAAACATGTTTATTTTAAATGTATAAATCAATTTAATTATTTATGAACATTTTCATATTAAATTTTTTAACGATATGAAAGCTAAATTACCTGTTAATAATTTCTGTTACTCTTAGTTCTTCCCACATCGTTTTTGCGAGTTCAGCATAATCTTCATTCCTGAACGAATGATTATTAGAAAAGGTTTGCTATCACAACGGTCTCATTTAACTTTCGCTCGTCAACAATCGAGCTACGCACCATCTTTCAACGGCCACTCTCTCGTGATCAGCGTATGGTCTCGGCAGCGGTGGTTGATTTCGTCTCAATTCTTCTAGTGCCAATACTGTTGTATATACGTTTTCAATAGACCTCAAAATCTTTCGATGATCTATAACACCATGTGATGAAATTGACGGAATTTTTTGATGCTGATTATGAATACCACCACTACCATTGCTAGGACCCGCATGATGAATGTCATTGCTCTTGGATGAAACTTGTAATAATTGTCTAGGGTTACGTACAGAATTAAGAGCAATTTTACCTAGAGCACCCTCTAGTGATACTATTTATAAAGGTAAAAAAATTTGTTAACATTAGTTTTAAACAAATATTTTAATACGATATAAGATGTATTATTTACGTTGTGTTAGTTTTGGTTTCCTTCTTGCATCATTAACAATTCTTAACACTTGTTGTTGCATCTTTAATAATCCACTTTCAGATCCTCTACTTCGATGACGCCCTCGTTCATGTCCCATGAAACCAGACCCTCCAAGTTGTGGTGAAAAAGTGGATATTGAAGGTTGTTGTTGCTGTGGTTGACGAGATCGTATAGCAGTATATACTTGATAATAAAAGTCATCTGCATAAGGATCATCAGTTACAAGTTGTGATATTTGAATGCGATTGATGAAATCTTTATCACTTTGCGTCATAAGACCATTATATCGAGACTGTAAACAATAAAAAATGCCTTTCCGTTGATTGAAGACATATGTATTAAAAAACAATTAATAAATATTAAATAATTAATCTATTACCATTTCAACCAATTTTCTTTGTTTATCTCTTCGTTTTCTTTCCCTATGAAATGACAAAGCTTCTTGTTCTCTGTAAGCAGCTTCTTGTTCTCTGTAAGCAGCTTCTTGTTCTAAAAAAGCAGTATTGTCTTGACCCCTAAAAGCAGGTTCGTTGGTAGGGTACATTAATTGTTGTGGTGGTGGCCGACCATTAATGCCTAGCAAGGCGGCTTCGACCTCAGCCAAGCTCAGCATTCTCTTTTCGGGCAATCCGGCTTGTCTGTGCAATTGAGCTTCAATTTCTTCAAGCGACATTGGCGCGCGTGCAGAAGAATGTGCAGGAGGCCCGAATCCTAGTAGTGGTGGTGATGTTTGAGGGGGTGTATAATGATGGGAATTTTCGAAGGGACCAGGAACAATACCACCTTCTTTATGTGTTGTAGAACAAATGCGTATAAAAAATATCCAAAATAAATGACAATGATAATGAAATGTATCAATAAGATGAATAATATACGTTGATTTATAAATCATATTTCCGTTTGGTGCACACCTGTGCGACTTGATGGCGCATGAAATGACCCCCATATAGAAGGACTTATTGGAGACTGAAATTTAGCATCAATAACGACCATTAGGTTAAGAAACAATCGTTATAATTAAATATGTATTAAATATATATAAAGCTTTATTTTAATAATGTACCTCGGATAATGATGGAGTACCTACTACCTCGTTTGGATGACTATTTTTGCCATTAAACACAACCTCCGAATCATTTACCCATAAAGCCGCGTAAGATGGTCTTCGTTTGGATTGTTCTGTAAAAGTGATTTGAAATATTTTGAATTGAATTAATATTAAAAGTTATCAGCTTGATACAACAATCAGTTAAGTAATCTTACCATCGCCTTTATCTGACGTGGCGCTTTCTCGTCGACCAATATAAATTTCCTCTTCTTTTTTTATTGTGTCTACAATTTTTGCTGTACTTCCCGTAAAATCAAAATCCTGGTCTAAATTTTATAAATTGAGAAATAATTTATATTATAATTAAAAAATGAACGCGAAAAATTGATACTAAACAGATCATAGTCTCAAAATATTGACCATAAATATTGAAGTTTTAGTTCGAAACATAATCGCGAACAAGGACTATTTATGATCTAATAAAGATATAGCTAGATCAAGATTAAATAAAAAGGAATAACATACCGACGTCCCCAACATCTCCAAACGTTTCGGCATTTAAATCGTCACCTGTTTCTTCTAACTGGGCACCTAAATCAAAGTTTTGTTCATAATCATAAACCTCAAAGTCTTCTCTTGATTCTAGAGTAAAATCTTTTATTCTTCTTTGTACTTCTTCTTCCTCGGTTTCGTCCTCTTGCTCGCCAGTTTGACCTACCCCAGTCAACTGGTCAGAATTTAAAGGTGGTAATGTAGTGTCGAAGCCAAAGAAAGAGTCTGACATGTCCGTTTTTTTATTTTTTTTTCACCCTTCACGAAAACAAATCCAAAAAATAGGATAAATGTTTGCTTCTGAATTATTTATTATATATAGAAGTTGAACTACCATTTATAAAATAAATAGAGGCAAAGAAATTTTTTTTTTTTTAATCGATAGAAATTTTACTCCCTCCAAGTAAAACACGTGCGCAAAAAAGGCTTCGTGTTACAATACCGATACGTTTTGAAATAACTGTCATTCTACATTAGAGGTGCAGGCGAATCGTCCCAATGATGTTACGGCTTAAGCCGTGACTAGTTAAAACTTATGTCGTAACTAGTTACGGCAACCATTGGGACGATTCGCCTGCATCTCTATTCTACATACCTATACGCAACATACGTACGTACGTACGCACGCACGCACGTTTAGAGGTTAGCGTTAGAGTTAGGTGGTAAATCAACTACTAATATATATTAATATATATGATGTATAACGTGTAGAATCTAAAATTTTTAAATGCTACTGTACAATGTCTTTTATCCTTTATACATATCAATATATAATTTCCCTAAGGATTTGGAATTTTTAAGAATTTTAGTGTTTCAAGTTCTAGACATTTATTGTGTTTTTCATCACCTTAGAGAACAAATGCAATACGTCACGTGAACTATTCTATTAACCTTACTAGCACGAGTATTGGTATTAAATATTAAATGTTAAATACAGAAATAGCAAATAAAATTAAATGCAGGCCAACCCTAAAATTTAGGTCCATCCCCTGCCTAACGCTAAGCACTGATTCATTGTTAAATAAAAGACGCGACCAAGTCATATACTTTTGCAAAAATGAATACTTTTTTTCAGGCTAAACCTTCCAAGTCCGTAAAGGTTCACGAAGAAATTTCTCAACCATGGATCGAGAAATAGTAAGTTTATAGAATATCTGCAATTTTAAGAAAATTCAAAGGTGGATAATATGTTGACAGGCTTCATTTACTTTAAAAAAAAAAAAAAACAAGTCGACCAAAATCTATGGATAGTATTAGTGCTCAAGAACAAACTGTGGCAGTACTTAAAAAGACTATTGAATCTCAAAACGTAAGAAACGCGATATGAATACATTTTGAGTTTTAATGGCTTTTTAATAACTAGTTACTTCTCACAGTTGCCTCATATGTTATTTTACGGACCTCCAGGAACCGGCAAGACATCCACAATCCTAGCATTATCTCGAGAACTTTATGGGTATTAGAACTTTGAGTATAGAATAGAATCGTATCAAGTATATTTGCAATATAATGATTAAACTAATGTTTATTCAATCTCTTGTTAATATTTTGATTTAGGCCAAAGTTGATGAAATCTCGAGTCTTGGAATTGAATGCTTCAGATGAACGTGGGATACAAGTTGTTAGGGAAAAAGTGAAAAATTTTGCACGTACAGCAGTTAGTAATCGTACTAAGTAAGGTTTTTCGAGTTCTAAATAAAAATATAAACTCGTCACCATTTATATTAATACTAATCAATAAATTAGAGAAGCTGGTGATTATCCATGTCCACCATACAAAATTGTAATTCTAGATGAAGCTGATTTGATGACGCAAGATGCACAGTCAGCTTTGCGGCGCGTAATAGAAACTTATTCCAAAGTTACGCGTTTTTGTCTCATTTGTAATTATGTGTCACGGTAAAGCACTCACTTTTATACTTGGCAGACGCGAAGTTTTTACTTTTGAACTCATATATAAATTTATACATTTCTTTTATAAATTGTAAATAGTATCATTGAACCGTTAGCTTCTCGTTGTGCAAAATTCAGATTCAAACCTTTAGATATTTCGAACACAATATCACGACTCAAAATGATTTGTGAACAAGAAGATGTCAATTATAGCTCACAGGTATAATTTTATTTTAAAATATACTCTAAATGAGGTTGCTCTTGATCAAAATCTCATATTATATTCCCGATTTCAATATATTTTGAGACATTGGAAGAATTAGCAACATTATCTGAAGGTGACCTAAGAAAAGCTATAATGTATCTTCAAAGTGCGTCCAAGCTTCACAAGAAGGAAATGATTACAACAGAATCAATACGAGAAATTACGGGGGTATATACTTATATTAATTAATTCATAAACAATATCACCAATACTAAAAAATTACTTTACCAATGATATGTAGGTTGTTCCGGATGACATGATTAATAGTCTAATTGAAAGTGCAAAAAGTAAAAAAAACGAAATACAACTTGAAGAAGAAGTTGCAAAAGTCATGTGTTCCGGATTTTCAGCTGTTCAAATATTATCTCAGGTATTAAAACTTTCATTGTATGCATTCCTAAAAAACATCTACAAATAGTTTGATTATTTAATTTCTTACATTTATAGATACAAGATCAAATTTTGGCTGACTATCAAATTAATGAAACGCAAAAAGCTAGAATCGGAGAATTTATAGGTCAATTTGATAAATATTTAGCAGATGGAACTGATGAACATTTAGTTATTACGAATTTGATCAAAATTATTTCTGTGGAATGTTAAGAGGTTGATACTAACAGTGACATTTATTACAGTATTATTTAGCACTGATGTTCAAATTCCAAAAATTACAATTGAAATTATCTGACCAATTTATTGAATAAAGAATCAATTTGCATTCAGTTATTATAACAAAAAAAAAAAAAAATTCCAATTTATGGTGCTAATGTGTACATGTATAACTTAGTCGTTCCGTTATTGAAAAAAAACCAATATTATAAACCAAATATTTATGTCATCTACAATCTAATTAATGCCATCTTTACCGGTGACATTTACTGCTTAGCATCATTTTGAACATTAGAATTAGTAGATGTAACTTTGGTGTCAAGATGAGGAACTGATTCGTAAGCAGGTGGTTGGGAAGTAGTATAAGCAGGAACTGCTGTGTAATAAAGGACAAATCCAGGATCTGATAGTACGTCATATTGATGCTCAGCTTTGAGTCTCTGGTAATATGCCCATACGGCCATACAGAAATGAAGCTATATATATGACAAGAACAATTATTAATTCGGATTCATCATTAGAAAAGTTCAAACATTTTAATATATGAAGGAACGTACATCAATGAGACACGATACTCCAAGACAAATAACCATTGTGGAGGCAGTCTTTATGTACCAGTCCATGCATGTACCCATGTCCATATCAACATCAGGTTGTTCAATTAATTTTTCACAGATATCTTTATCAAAGTAGAATGCCACAACGGAGAATACAATGGATAGAGTGAATCCCAATACAAGTTGCCACCAATAAAAGAAGGAATATATTTTTACATAATTTTTTTTATTCTATAAGGCAAAATCGAATAACTGAGTAAAGTATAATAATAAAAAAGAAAAATGATTAAAGAAATAATGGGGTACAATATTACCTTAATTACACCAATGATACCCGCGATACACGCAAAAGTCGCCCCAACATAATAAGTGGATAACGCACTATAAAAGAAACCAAACTGTCCAGCCAGCTGTGAAAAGTGATAGGCATTGGTCATATATGCTAACTATGTAATAATTTAATAAATATTCTGGTCATTATAATTCTGCTGGTAAATTTACGAATATAACAGCAAAAAAACAAGCCTTACAGCTCCAAGAGTGGCTAACATGAGAGTTGCCGCTCTATAAATCAGGTTATAAAACCTCCAGTTAATTTAAATCCACAACTGTTTAGTTCTAAAGTATATACTGAAAGATCGATCCATACCTTAAGCCGATACAGAAACAGCACTTAGACAACATTATGGGTTTAATGGAATGCAGAAAAATAAACAGAGTTTAGGAAAATTAGAGAGCGAAATTGAACTTTGAATCAAACCACACAAGTTTAAAAAAGTTTCTGTCGAAATTTAATTATTTCTGCAATCATTACAGACTGTGATATATGACTTAATTATCCGATTTAGGAATTCACAAGGATATCTGCATTACCATCAAATCTTAGCATTGGTGACTTTATTATACATTGTTACATAATTAGCTAACAATAAACTCAAAGTTATATTAATGATGATCTTCATTTGCTTGGTATATACGTACGTACGTATATAATCTTAACGCTAATTATCATTCTTCTTTTTTTGATGTCTTCACAAAATTGGTCTACCGAGTTTGCGTCAGATACAAAAGCTATTATGGAAAATGAATCAAAAAATAGGACATTGATATGTATTGGAGTTCCTGGGTCTGGAAAATCAACATTTTCAAAAAGTCTTTGTCGAACTTATCCTGATGTAAATTAGTTATTATGCTTAAGGCAATATGAATATGAACTAATTTAATGATTTATTATTATGATTACGTAGAAATGGTATCGAATTAGTCAAGATGATTTAGGGACTCGACAAGCATGTGAAGAATTGTTTAAAGCAAAATTAAACGAGGTGATTATTTCCGAATTTGCATATATAATAGTTTGAAGCTTTTACTGACAAGTCATCTCAATTAATAATGTAATAAGGGAATGAATGTAATAATTGATAGGTGTAATTTTAATAGAAGTCAAAGGAAAGTATGGATTGAATTAGCGTGGAGTTTCGACGTACCGGTTGATGCTATTATAATGGATACCTCTATGGAGGTTTGTTAAAAATTCAATAACCGTAGTCTCTATTTTAAGTGTGCACTAATAATAAACTCATAATAAATCGATAGGAATGCTCATCACGTATTATCGAAAGACAAAATCATCCAACAGAAGTTCAAGGCCAAAAAGGTCTTGAAATTTTAGCAAACTTTCATCAATGGATGGTTTTTCCTAATTATGAGGAAGGATTTGAAAGAATAATTAGTATAAAACCTCAACCTACCCCGGATTCCTATAACGATAAGGTCATTGAAGAAATTTTGACCAAATTGAATAAGGAACAAATCGTAGCACATAATAGAAGTATTCCTATTACAAACACTGGAAAACTTAATGCGAGGAACGAAATTAACTCGCGTGAACGATACAATGATCGCGGTTATTCGAGACCGCGAAATGGTAATTTGGAAAGTAGGAATAATCCTTGGAAAAATACGGAAAATAATTCGACAAATCATACTAACCGTTACAATGATAAATATCAAAATGACTTCCCACCGCTTGGTGGGTCTTGAATGTGTAAGGTAATTCATTGATTAACATATACGTACGTATCGAAATTGAAACAGCTGAAAGTTTTTTTGTCAAATTTAATTTTTTTTTGTAATAAAAATAAAAATTTACTATCTTTACCCATAGGGTATAATACCCGGTATAATGGTATATAGAGTCCTATATATATATATTAAGGATAGGGTTAGATTTAGAAATATGTGTGGTTATACGTATGCAAAATTAGGTTCTGGACGATTTAAGATACCTACATATGGTTATCTTAGTAAATTTTGAGATATTAATGATTTTTGATTTTTCTTATACCGGGTATTATAACCATCGGGTAACAAATGGTAATCTATACGTATAATGTGATAAACTAAATTTAAATAACGATAATTAAAAGAATTGTAATAAGCACGCCATTGATGATAATTTACGCTATGTTTAACTATTTGGCGAGATATTCAATCATAATTTTGTTTATTAACACCTGTTTGCCCTTCAAAGTTTTTTAAGCTAAGCCAAACTAGGCTGATAAAATTTAATCATCACTCTGCCTACCAATTCCTTTCGTTTTAAAAAAATCGGATGATTAATTTTAAATTCACATATGTAGCATCTAGGTAACTATTTAACTGAAGAAGACATCTATAACTGAAATTGTGCCCCTAATCATGCATTAATTCCGGTCAGATGCTACTTTAGATATCTAAAGTGGCTACTTAAAGATAGGTAATCCTTTTTATACATGGAAACAAATTTCAATTGAGAATTGACTAGTCATTTCTCGATCAACCGATAATTTTCTTTGCCGTGGATGGTAGCCATATTTGTACACGTTATGTTGGGTATCCTGATACTGCCGTATACTAACCTGAATAGTGTCGACCTTATAAAGCCGATCCCCCGTTACCAAGACCATTGACTTACACCCGACAGTCAAAACTAGGTTTCGCCTTTCGCCAATAGCAAAACCCCTAGGTTTCACCTAACAACTCTACCTATACTAATGTTTCTTTATATAAATATCACAATCACACTTATTTTTCTACACATTCAAAAACAGTAGACAAATAGAATAATTCAAAAAACGATCTTTTTATTGAATTTATTTAATTACAATATATATATTTTGAATTAATAAATGAAATATAACTCGAAAATCGATATCTATTATTTATCTATATAAAAAGAAAGTAAAATTAAGATTAGTAAATACTAAAATAGTATAATCAGATATTATATTGCTTATTACTCGAAATTCCAAGTCGAGACTAGACACTTCCAAAAGCCCAGTAACAGCGCTAACACTTGCCAAAAGGCCAGTAAAACTCGAAAGCCTACTTAGACACCCTTATTCAAGCCAGCATAAACCTACACACAGATATCAAAGATACCCGTGCATAGATAAAGCTGCTAATAGCGTAACTTAGTTAACCACCTTAAACTAATAGCCGACTCGACACTTTCTGAAGCCAGTACAGACAAACAAAGAAATCCTCGTAATAAGTCAAGGTTGTTTACTTCAGATAAAACATACCAGTACATGCATTTCACAAAGTCACAAAAGTCCCGGTATATATCTATTAAGAAAGATACATAACCGATTCTTCTTCCGGAACCAGTAGACAACCTTCTGTTCCCGAAGTCATTCACAAACATAATACTGACCTGCTAACATGTTTAAACGTCAGAAACATATATCTTCAAACTAAAAGGTTTCTTAATTCGTATTGAAAAATCATAAGTTTATTTATTTATGCATGCAGAAAACAACTATTGGGGCACAGAGTCTGTGAGCATGCCCAAGGGCATGCCTTTAAACTAAAAGGCATGCCTCCGGTAGGGGCATGCATTAAAATATAATTCCAAATATAGAAAATGTGCGATCGTTGGCCGATTTGTCGTATGAACACCGAATAAAAATTAACTGACTCGTGTTGAATTATCGTAATGCCGTGTCATTTGTATTGTATATACTGCTTCATGTCAAATTGTTATGTACTGAAATTTATAATAAAAGGGTTATCTCCATTACAAAGTTCTGTTCCGAATTTGCTTGTTTTCAAGAGAATATCAATTTTTTATAAAATCGCTTACTTGAATCAATATTATGTCATCACAAAATGTGCCTATTATTTTCTCAAAGACCTCCAAGAGAAATTTACGTAGGAAAAAACAACGTGTCATAAAAAAAGTTAAATTTGAGAACCAAGATGACTCAATCATTGATGCGGATACTGATTCCACATCTAATACTATCGTTGACCAAACTGACAAAAGAAGGGATATTTTTTATGATCCCTTGAGAGTAAGTTGGTTAATTTTTGTCATGAATTAAAATTCCCTTAGTATGTAATATAGTCTTCTTAGGGGCAGTTTTCGCCTTTTAAGGCAGGCCTAGGATCCGACTGTCCCCTCCCTATTATTATTGAGGATGCGATCGTTGAATCATGATTGTCTTATTAGTGAGGAGAGGAAGACCGAACGAGCTTCCCATTTAACGCTGAGCTAAGAGACAAAAAATGATTCAAATGTATCCACCTAATTTTATTATTATCTAACTTCAAGACATTTTAAGTTATACAGTATACTATTTATTAATTTTTTGAATATATATTCTTTAGCATAAAACCCAACTAGAAACCCGTCAATCAACTAAAGATGAGGCTCGTGAATATATTTGTACCCAATGGGTATCAGAAGATTTCCTTTCTAGTGATCTTAAATCAGTTAAAATTTCACAACCTTATACTTTGATAGATCCAAAATTTACTTTTATTAAAAAGTTTTTAGAAAAAAGACAACAGAGACTAATTACTCTTAGGTTATTACAAACTGATTTATTATTAGAAAATATCATAAACCAGAATACCTATATTGCAAAATCCTTATCACCTCAAACCATCCAATCATTACCAATTGATAACTTTGAAATACCATTACAATATATGGTTCTACTAGAGTCTGAAATTTTTAATAAAGGTCCTTCAAATTCGACACCAGAACAGTGGAAAGAATTTGGATTATGGGCACATTTTTCAAAGGTACCTAATTTTAATAAGCGATTTCGTCTTCATTGCCGTCACCTCTGGTCTAATGTTAGGCATGCACACAAAGAAGCCCAGAAGAAAATACAAAGAGAATATAATATCCCAGAAACATTTCGTCAAATTTTGAATAATAAACAAAACATTGCAGTAAAAACTACTGAAGTCGTCACCTCAGGTGGTAATTTTGAGGGATATTATCATGTTTTTAATCCACAATGTTTCAAGAATTCTTTTGATGAAGTAGTAATTGATTTTTTTGATATTAATAATCTTACTATTATCGAATATACAAGGGACATTGTAAATGAATATTATATTCACAATCTTGATAATAAATCACATCAATCCAAGGAATTTAAAAAAGAACTAGCAGAACATTTTGGTGCTTTTACAAATAATAATAATGAACCTTACACAACAGCTAATACTGTTTCGAATCACTGTCCAGAACATCGACAATGTGTACAGAAATTAATTGGTGGTCTTCAACCTTTATCTAATATAATTAATCATTATTTCTGTAATATATATCCATCTTTATATGCAAAAATGAAGAAGCTTGATCTGGGCCCAAATGTCCCAAAATCTTTTGGAGGGTTTCCTACTATTGCTATTAATTATAATGTAATTTCTCAGTTTCATCGTGATATTAAGGATCACCGAAATACACTATGTGTAGTGTGTCCTCTAGGTTTATTTGAAGGTGGACAATTAGTATTTCCAGAACTAAAATTAATGATCTATGCTAAACAAGGACATGCCATCGCCTTTAGATCGAACATTTTAGTCCATGGTAATCTTCCAGTTATTTCTGGTATTCGTCATAGTGTTGTTTTCTTTATACATGTAACATCTATCAAGCAAAATAGAAAATTCAGCACTCTATTTAACGATTCAGATTCGGATATTGATACAGATATAAGCATGAACGTTAAAAATAAAAAAACTAGGGTATCAAAAAATCATGCCATGCAGGATAAGAAGCTTTCCAAATCTTTAAAGTTGGATTCGCAGTCTTCAAAAATGAACAATTCAAGACGAAGCTGTCTTGGTAAGTGTAATTGTTATGTTAAAAATTCTATGTAGTCATTCTTCAAACTCAATATTTATGCTTGTTCCATACTTATTTAAGATCTTGAGCCTGCAAGAAGAGGCTTACCCGCGAAATACAAAAATAATTAGCATTAGATTATAATCAGTTTGATTAACATTCTTCCGGACATTATCTAAATGAGGAAATATGTAATAAAAATTAAAAGATGCGTAATACTGAAATAAGTAATACGTATTGACTTTACTTATAACTTGTGGTTTGGCAATTAGAATAAAAAAAAACATAATATTATTTGATTCGTCTCAGTAAGACGAATCGAATGGTACTAAAATTTTTCAATGTTTCGCAGTATATCGTTAATTAATTTTGCATGACCTTAATACAACTTTTTAAAAACTAAAGATATCAAAAAAAATAACCTATTAAATCTACACAACATCTTTTGAATTTAGAAAATTTTATTAATAAAATTTAAAATTATATTAAGTTTTTCTCTATTTTTATTGGCCACAACAGCTGGCCATATAAAAAGTTATGTGGGTTTTAGATGAAATCCACAGTACGTATAAAAAATTTTTTTGATCGGTAAATTGATATAAAAAATGATCTACATGTACTCTACCCTTAAATAACATAATCCTTTGAGATGTCAGTAAGTATAAGACAGTGTTAATATTATTTGACAAAGCTAATAATCACGGAGTATGACCTTTTTTTTTTATTAATCCAGAACTTTGAAGAAGAATACAGTCTTCATACTAATTCTCAAGATATAGGGTATGTTGAATATTTGAAAAATAATGCTATGAAATAAATTAATAAATTGCATCTCGACAGGAATGGAGAAGAACTACCTGAAGATCCCATTCAAGATCATCGGCCACGATTATTAATAATGGGCCAGAGGAGGTGGGTAAGATAGACTCCAAAAGATCTTTTTTTTAATCTTTGAAATATGTTAACAGAATAACAACTAGTTTTGTTTAATTATGATTTAGAAGTGGAAAATCTAGCATCCAAAAAGTTGTATTTCACAAAATGCCAGCAAATGAGACATTATTTCTTGAAGCAACTAACAAGATAGTCAAAGAAGATATCACGTAAGTTTTGATCATTAGCTTAATTCATTTCTTATATTATTTTTAAATCAATAATTAAGTAAAATAATTAAATAATAAAATTTCATTAAATTATTTTTTAATAGGTCATTCATTGACTTTCAAGTTTGGGATTTTCCAGGTCAAATTAATTATTTCGACGCACCATACGATGCAAATATGATATTTGGGGATTATGGGGCATTAATTTTTGTTATCGACGCCCAAGTAAGTTTCAAGTTTGACTTGTTAAAAAGTCATTAATTAAGCACAATTACCTAATCCGTGACAAAAGTGAATGTTTATGAAAATTAGGACGATTATATTGAAGCTTTAAATCGCCTTCATCATACTGTAACACGAGCATATAAAGTCAACCCTGACCTTTCTTTCGAAGTTTTTATACATAAAGTAGATGCATTATCTGACGAATACAAAATTGATACTCAACGTGATATTCAACAACGAATTACAGATGAATTGGCAGATCATGACTTGGAACATGTTCATTTAAACTTTTATTTAACCAGTATTTACGATCATTCAATTTTTGAAGCATTTAGCAAAGTAATTCAAAAACTTATACCTCAATTGCCAACGTTAGAAAATTTATTGAATATCTTGTGCGCGGTAAATAATTCATAGTAAATACATATAAAAAAAAATGTCAAGAGGTATAGTTGTAATGTCTTTTTCAATTAACTTTAGGTTTATTATTTATTTTTATAGAATTCTGGCATAGAAAAGGCTTTTTTGTTTGATGTTAATTCCAAAATTTACATAGCAACTGATAGTTCACCCGTAGACATGCAATCTTATGAAATTTGTAGTGACATGATTGATGTAATCGTTGATATATCCGAAATTTATGGGTATATTTTTGATTTTTTTATTTATTCGTTTATTATTATGATTTAAAAAAAAAAGGCAAAATCGCAATTATTAGCCTTAATACTTATTAAACATTTATATAGTCGAACAAACTCATACCGCGATGAATCATATGACGATCCATCACAAATTGATGCCAATGGATCTTCAGGCAATTATGAAACTGCAAATGATGCATCATCATTGATTAAATTAAATAACGGGACGATATTGTGTCTCAGGGGTGTTAACAGGTAAGGTAACAATTAAACTTACAACCAGGGAGCGGTTATTAAATTTTATCTAGTCCTGATTGCAACATATTTTTTTATGTCACACATCCTTATTAATTGATTTATCAAACCAGATTTCTCGCGCTGGTTTGTCTTCTTCGGGCTGATAATTTTGAAAAGCACGGATTAATAGATTATAATTTTCAATGCTTTAAAGAAGCAATAGCAGAAGTGTTTGAACTGAAGCGTCGTAACGCAGAAAGAGCTAAGCATGAAAGAATGGGATTAATAGAGAATGTGGATGATAGCATAGGAGGATAAAATATAAGGTATTGTTTTAAGATAAAAACTACCCGTGTATATGCAAAATTAAGATTATTTTTTGTTTCAGGTTATATAATTGTAAAATTCAATAATTGGTTTATCATCTTTATTAAAATTTATTGTGATTATTTAAGATAGCGGAATTGACGTATATTAATAAAAATTTGTAAAAGATATTTATTGCAATCGTGTTCAAAAATATCTTGATTTTTCAAAGTAGTTCTATGGAATTAGTCAATCATCCTTGATCATGAAGCCATTTATGTGCTTCCATTATTGAAACCCTACGTGATCCTAAATACACAAGTCCTTGAAGAAGACAATCCGCGAGATCATCTTTCTTTTTAGACTCGAGAAAATATTTGGCCAATTCACCGGAGCAGAGATGTAGATGATCATTTATCCAATTTTGAGCCAACATTGTTGATAGTGCTTTTTTACCTAAATATTTTCGTATTTCTGTTTTTCTACCTTGTTTTTGAAACCATTTTTCCATATAATCTGAATTTTGTTCTTCGGTCTTTAACATCCTGTTCAAATAATTCGAAACACTTAAAGGATAAATGCTCTGTACTTGTAATGGGTTTTTAACTCTATCACTTAAAAGTGCAAATAACATTAGTTCTATAGTAATAACGTTTTGAACGTTCATAGAGATCCTTCTATGAAACAATTGGCGTTCAATGATAAAAGCATCGACATCTTCTTTCGACAAAAAAATTTTATGAACCATAGGCTGTAACTTTTCGAAAAAATTTTTTGGGCCAAAGGAATCTAAATCCAGCGATAATTTTTTCCATTCTATTATTTGATAACTCGAAGTTAAATGAGCGTATGCAAAATTCTTAACTCCGATATCGATAGATATAATTGATTTTGGTAAAAAAGTCTCAATTGTTGACTTATCAAATCGTTCATGATTTATAGATTTATGATTCGATTCCAATTGCGCATTTGATTGATAAATTGTTACCAAATGTTGTGATAATAATTTCGCAATTTCACTTTTATTTAGTGACGTGAAAGATAAACCACATCGACGGCATAATTTTTCTAGTTCAGTCTTTAAAAGTTGTCTCTGAAGACTTGTTTTTCCATCGATTTTGTGATACGTAAGAATGTTTGTATTTTAGATGAATTCTTTAAATATATATATATTTATATTTACACCTACCGTTCTGCGAGAATTGTTAAATTTGTCTTTTTCATATCGCTATTGCTTTTGTTGCGGCTATACGAGTCAAAATTTCGGAAATACTGTCTGATTGTAGATCTAACACATGAGCATTAGCCAATCATAATTTTCAAAATTTTCGAAAAATTTGCTATTTGAGAGGGTTGTAAACCAACCAACCAACCGGAATTGCGAAATTTTATTTACACGAATCAGCCCGAAGAAGTAAAAAAGAAACCGCACTTATTAAAAATGTCGGGGAGGCAATTTTACCTATACTCCTCTTCTTAAATCAACACCAAACTAACCCTAACACCAGCCTTAATTTTAATTAAACCGGTTAAAACGTGGGTACATGGCTTTCAAAAAATTACAGATAATTTTATTTTAAGAACCTAAAGCAATATGAAACAATATACTGTAGAAAAATTTTGTGGTTCGAGCACGTTGTACAAATTTAGGACAATCAGTCAGTTGACATATGCTTTATTCAGCAGTTCATTATAATATGTACACATAGGGTCAACTTTTAATATCGATTAATCAGATTTGGCACATAACTTGATATCTTCAGTTTACCAATTGTTCGTTCGTGAGACCACACGTTGATGTTTCCCCAGAAAATATGTAATAGGATCAGTAATCACGGCTATCCCCGTAGCACAATACGAGTAGATCATTCATAATACTCATAATATATACGTACATACACTTTATTCGATACGAAAATGTAACTATTGCGTATACATCAATTTTCATATAAAATCATATAATGTAACTATTGCGTATATATCAATTTTCATATAAAAATCATATAATCCTAAGCTCCTGTATGAAAAAATTATAAATCTACTTTTCAATGATTCAATGCTGTTATTTGAGGGTCTTGCAAGAGCAGCACAACTTAAACGATCGCTGGCAGCATTGGTTTCTGCTACTTCGATAGCTCTGCTTCAAACTAAACAACGACTAAGCTTGGTTGGAATATTTGGTAACTTTGATCTCCTTCGATCGGTAGACAATTCTGAAAATGGCAAGTTTGCGAAAAGAGTGGCGGTAGAAATGCCAGTAAGGCCAAACTATCGTGCTCCGAGGTTACCGATTGTTTTGTGCCATGGTATTTTGAACGAAATCGATTTTTAATGTTTCAGTTAGGTCACTTATCTAATTCATTTTTTTTTTCATAGGTCTTTTTGGCTTCGATAAATTAGGTATTGTATCATTCTTTATATGACTCTATCAACCAACTTTTTTGTTTTGTCATCTTAATTAGATTCAATTATAATTATTACATGTTAAGGTCCTTCTTCTATTCCATATTTACAAATACACTATTGGGGTGGCATTGAGGAAGCTTTGCAAAAATTAGGTGCGAAAGTTATAGTTACCAAGGTTCCAAGGTATGTTATTCATTTCATATTAAACATACATACTAATACATATTAATTAATTACTGTATAATTATTATGTAAAGGACCGGATGTATTAAGTCTCGTGCCCAAGCCCTGCATCACACCCTAGAAACAATCTTATCCGGAAATAATGTGAATTTGTTGGCGCATTCGATGGTTTGGCAGACAATTATGTGATTATTCAAAATTTTGGTTCGATTATTTAATGTTACAGCATTTTCTAATTTCTTCTTTTTTCATGATTTTATCATTTTCAAAATCTTTAAAGGGTGGACTCGATTGTAGATGTTTGATTGCTAATATTCCTACCGAGAAAAAATATGTTGTTCGAACGTTGACTACAATAGCAACTCCACATCGCGGCAGTCCATTTATGGATTGGTGTCGGGATAATATAGGAGTGGGCGAAATTAGTCAATCATTCGAAGAGGCAGCTAAAGTTGTAGACGATGCTATAAAAAAGATGGAGAAAACACGTGACCAACAGAATCGCAATAATCAAAAGTCTTCTATATTAGAGTCAAAAGTTCAAGAACAATCCTTAAGGTTACCTTCTCAAGCAGAAAATATTGTAAAACAAAAAGACCCATTTCCGGCAGGACAACCTCGCAGTACTATCGTTTCTGCAAAAATGGATAAAACTGACAATATACAACCTAAGGCTTTTAACAAGAAATCATTTCACATACCTATTTCTTTTAATCTTCCGAATTTTAAATTTAACCTTTCTCTTCCAAGCATCAACCTTTCTAGCCTATATCCTATTTCACAAACAACATATACCATTTTACATCCCATCACTCGAGCATTAATTCAAGCTTTTGATACTCCAGCTTACAGTAATCTCACAACGGATTATTGTGTCAACTATTTCAATAAGAACACACCTAATGATCCGTCAGTTGCATACTATTCATATGGTGCTGCCACAAACGTTCCGATTTGGTCACCTCTGTACTTTCCTCATCAAATAATTAAAGAAAAGGAAGGTCCTAATGATGGATTGGTTAGTGTTAAATCTGCTCAATGGGGAAAATATGTAGGAACCGTGAATTGTGATCATTGGGACTTGACTGATAAATGGAGAATTAAAATAGGTTCAAATTTTGATCCTGTAGAATTTTATTTAAATGTTGCAACCTTTTTAGCAGCCGAGGGTTATTGATAGATAATAATTAATAAATATAAGTTTTGCTTATTAGTAATGATACTAGAATAATTGTAAAGTAATTTTATGTAAATGAATCAAATAAAGAAGCAAAAGTTAAAAATGAATTTATTAAGCAAATTTTTTTAAAAAATGCAAGCAGATATTTTCATATGAAAAAATTACATTGCAAAATCATAATGCAACTATTAATTCACAAAAAAAAAATACTATAAATGATATTTGATAAATGCAGAGATTTCAAACATGGTTTAAATGATTCTTTTCATTATAAAATGTTCACTAAAATAAATATAAAATTTGAATTTAATTTAAAGTTTATAGATTATAATTTTCGACAAAAGTTTACTTAAAATACAACCTAGTTAATTATGGTAAATCATCAAGGTTTCTCACATTCAGTGCGTAGGATAAGCGTGAAGAACGTTTCTTTAATGATTTGTCACTTAATTTTTTTAAACATCTATTGATTATAATCTATTGGAAGAAACAATCATTTAGAAACAATGTTTATATAATAAATGATAACATGTGGAATTTAAAATACTTACAGCCCACTTAAGAATCACTTCATAAAAATATATAAATTCTTCCATCTCTGTATAATCCCGAGAAACTGATGCATTATCTACTTCTCGAAGGTAATATTCACCTGTTTATTATATAAATTAAGTTTTTTTGTTTAAATATAAACAATATATAATTATCAAATTAAAAAATTACTTACCAAAAAATCTAAAAACATACATATGTATATTACATCTCACACTGGATACACCGAATACCTCCATATCAGGCATTATTACTTTTCTGGTTGTCATTCTTTCTTTTATAATCTCTGAATATAAATTTTTAAGATTTTTTCCAATTTTGTTTTGATTCTCTATCACTTTCTTATCATCAACTTTGTATGGACGAGTTCCTTCAACATACACAATTTGATATTTAGATGAATTTGTTGCAAATTCTATTCCATCACCTTTTTGACGATTTACATAGTTTGGTGATGTAATTTTACCACTATTCACACATAACAAAAATAAAATTTTTATTTATAAATTATAATATTACATTACAATATTATAATAAATTAATTTAATGAATATAACTTACGAAGTATAATAAACATTTGCACAATTTCACAAAGCAGCTTTTAGACAAGGATGAATATAGTTATTTAAATATGAATGTTCTAGGGTTTCTTTATTATGTAATAGATTCATATGGCCTAATGAAAAAACCTGGAAACTAAAATCAAAATATAACAAGTTAAAAAAAATCATCTTTTGTATCTAAAATGTTTCAAAAAAATAAAAATCATAAAAATATAGTAAGAAAACCAAGAATTAAAAACAATGTTTACAAATTATCAATTGTTTTGACAATGACTTTAATTGCAATTTTGGTAACATTTTCACTATAATCATTAACATTCAATTATCTATAGTTTCGATCCACTGATGTTGTGTTAAATCCTTAAAATTGTAAAATAAAGTATATAATATTTTATACTACAGTACTATTGGTAACAAATCTATTAGAATTAGGATTCATGCTTATTATATTCATACCTGAGAAAAAAATCCACTAAAAAATTACGTGTTTCATCAAGAATTAGTTTATTATAATTTTCGAATAATCCAATAAATCTTTCATAAATTTCTAATGGAATTTGTTTCACAAATTCACTATTCGGAGAAAGATTCATTATATTTGATTCTGATAATTTATCATTGCTGTTGACTTTATATCCTTTAAAAATATTAATGATATCGATAACATGTGGTTCAACTTGTATTTCTTTTTTAAGAATTCCTATGATTTTTATCTAAAAAAACTTAAATATTAAATAAAAAAAGTATATGTAACATAACAAATTAGAATATATTGATTATAAGATTACTGAATTTAATCCATTAATATTTTTATTATTATTTTCAGTTGTAAAAATTTCACTGTCTTCAGGTACAAAAATTTCATTATCTTCAGTTATGAAAATTTCATTATTGTTTTTATTATTATCGTTAGATAAACTTTCATTGTCTTCATTTCTATTATGTTTAATTTACAATACAAAAATAGTTAATAATAATGTTTTATTAAATAGTAATATCTTTTATTAATTGGCTTAAGTAGATATTACTGGGAAAATTGTCTTTGCAATATAGCTAAAGACCTCAAAAAAGTATCTATAAGAATTGTTTCTTACAATAAACTTCTCTGGAGTCATATAATATACTACATTCACCAAATAGCTTAAATAGATATTATTGGGAAAGTTATCCTTACAATATAACTTAGAAATAGAGTAAAAGTATTACCATGATAGTTTCTTTGCAATAGAGTTTAGATAACCTCACAAAAACAATTACAAAAATTTTATAAGATAAACTAAATTCTTCTCCGAAATTAGTAATTCTTATTCTGTAAATTGATCTTTGCGGGGCCATATAATAACTACTCTCACCAATTAGCTGATGTAGGAATATTACTGAGAAAGTCTTTTTACAATATAGCTTAGACAACCTCACAAAGCATCTAAAAAATTGTTATATACCAAATCCTTCTCCGGAATTAGTAATCCTTATTTTAACAAATTTTTAGATAATCTTTGCGGGGCCAGATAATAACTACTCTTGCCAAAGATTATACCTACAATTTGATTTGGATTTTCTGTTTTATTGTGTTTTTGGTGTCTAATATTAACAAAATCTTGTTTACTTCTCATTTTAAGAAACGAAAAGAAATTTAAAAATTAAATTTGTTGATTTTACTGATTTTTGTTACAAAATCATGAGTGATCTTAGCTATCCAACCAATCATATTAGGAATTTGGAACTCTGAGTTTTGCAAAATAAATTACAGGTTGTTATACAAACGTTTGGTCAATAATGTTGTTATTGTTATGCAAACATTTGGTCAACAATACGTATATATATATTTATTTTATTACCCGCATTGAATTTATTGAAAAAAACTTTATAAATGCATTTAAAATAGTTAAATAAAAACTTTACTCAAATTTTAAAGTGAAATAGAACATCTAAAGACTTGTTTAAAAATAATTTTTTTGCTTAATCTAGCACTCTTAAAATATAATTATTAAATGGTCACTAAGCGACTTTTACAATTAAAATGTTGTCTAACATAAAGATTTTATTTGATAAATATTTAAAAATGTAACTAACCTTAATAAATGCTACCTATATAAAATCTATTAGTTCTTTAAATTAAACCGAAAGTACAACTTTCAAGTAACCCGAAGATATTCTAAAAACTCACAATAAATTAATTTCAACTTTATTTAAAAATTAATGAAATAATAATAATATAAATAAATATATTTAGGTTTTTGATCTAATAAAACACTCCATTATACCATTCCACACAACAATGCTTATTACTTAATTTTGCGAAAAATTGCTCCATTACTTAATTCCGCGTAACAATGCTTAATTCCACACAATAATGCTTCGTTCACCAACCCTATATACAGTTGATTGCAAAGAATGTTTAGGTTCTAAGTTATACAAACAATATAATATTAAATTGTGACAGCTAATCAACTAGAAATGAATAGTTGAAGTAAAACTGAATAATGAAATTCATTAAGCGATCGCGGAGTAACCCACCATATGAATAGTTATATTGTGCCTTCAAATCTAAATAAATCATTAGAATTAACTCAAATAATGCTAGAACTGAGCATTAGGTAATCATGTATTAACTCACCAAACGACAAAACAGTGTGCTTTCAATAGAAATAAACTATTCGCATTCATGAGTAATAATGGTGCAATTAAAATTACTAGTTCATTTTTATGAAACAGGAATATAAAAATACATATACTTCATTGAAAACGCCAAGACAAGGTAATTTGAAGAATCTCTGATAACCTGAAATCTATTCTAATCATTATAATTAGTTCACCATATGTTGGAAAACATGAAAATCTAATCATGATGCAGAGGGCTAATGAACCCTATATAAAAAAGGTTGTTAATTAATAATACAAAAGATTTAAATCCACCAAATAACCAGAATAATAATTAATATTGTAATTACCGCATAGAAAATGATTGAAGCACATGTTATTAGATTCGTAAAATGCCAAAAAAAAAGATGCACAAAAAATAAACAATTACATAACGTAGATCATTACTTAAAATTGAAATAAAATCAATGCTTACTGAAATTAAAAACAATCAATTGACGTTGACGATACGCTATCTAATTGATTGAATTGCGTTATTATAAAATAAAGTTGATTTCTAAATCCAATACAGTAGACCCTCAATAAACGCACTTCATATGCACTCACCCTTCATATGCTCACCTTTTCCAACCATGTGCACTTATGAAAAGTCGCTGTATATCATCTGAAACAACAATAAACTATATGCTATATTGGTTGTGCGTTAATTCAGGACGCCTGTGTAGCTATTTCGAGACCAAGTGGGCTATCGTCAATAGGAATCAAGCGGATTGATATTTAAAAAAAATTTAATATTCTAATTTTCGCAACTTATAAACTCGATAAATTTTAAAGCTTTAATAGTTAAAAGAAATCATATTAAGATAGCTTTAAAATTTATCATGATATGAGTTGTGAATATTATGGTATTAATTTTTTTTAAAATGTCAATCTGCTTGATTTTTATCGATGGTAGCCCATGTAACTATTTTTGAAGGACCCGAATTTAATTAATAAATGATAATAAATATCATTAACGTAACTCATGGAGTATAAGTTTATTTGCGGTCGTCACCAATGCAAAGAAAAGGAACCACATGCGTTAGAGTGTTGTCAACTCAAGAAGAAGGATGTAAGTTTTCATTGCACTGTTTTTATTTAATATTGCCTAAGTATTTTCTGCCGTCAAATGTGGGGAAGCTTGTGTATGTCTAAGTTGAACTTTGTTATAGGATTCTAAGGAACAGAACAAGAAGCTAGCGGATGCTATATATACTATAGATGTTCTCTGGGTATGAGACACTAGTTAAAGATAAAAATTCATTCACATTCACATTTTATATCTTATCATAGCCATACATACAAAATGCAAAAATTGACGACGTATCAATCGAGACATTTGCTAATTGGGTGGCAGAATACGCCACAACCCATGGCCTAAACAAGCAATACATAACTAATGGAAATTTACTACGTTGGTATAAAATTATACTTTGGAAATGGCAAAAAGAAGAGACGGTGAAGTATATCCGAGATAAAATTAATAAAGCAAACAAAATTACAAACTCAAAAAATGTCGCTAAGGATGCTTTGGTAAACAGCTTGTTCATTTATTACTTTATTCTTTTCATTGCCTATGATTATATTCTTAATGAAAATGCTGGGCCAGTGTCCACAAATGGACTCGAGGTTTACCCTTCATATTATTTGCTAGTAGACGTGCCTTTGATTCGCACTTTCCACCCATATTTTTTCATATGCCTTCTATTCATCATTTTATCTCGTCTATTTCGGCGCTTTGCAAAAACCTTGGGCTTTAGGTTAACTCGGTGGTATAATATGTTTGGGCCAGTTTCGCATTGTTGCGCCACCAATGTGTTTCGAGGTTTACCCTTCATATCTATATTACTGGGCCATTTCTCTTTGGTTGATGCACTTTTTTCTTTATTATTCTTTATCTGAATTATCTTCTTTTTTATGGTGTCGAATATGAGGCCAAGTTATCTATAGTTTCAAATAATTCAAATTCTTTTGAGCAATCACATTTTCGCTTCATCTATCTCAGGAAAATTTATCACATTGCTCTGAGTCTTCCTCTATAATCGTATCCGGTGACTCAAGCCTTCAAGATCATCAAGAAGCATCCGAAATTTTTAACTTTGCCGGCTTTAAGGATACAAAGATTGATAACAATCCTATTATCGATCTTATACTTCAGCATAACCTAAATTGTGTTGCACATAACGATCCAATACGATCTGGTCATCTTTTTGCAACCTTTCCACACCCATTATTATATAACAAAAATCCCGATAAGTTTGATGCAATCATAAACCGGAATGATCGTCAGTTTGGAAAACTAGCCCATCCATTATCAAGGAAGATGGCAGAATGGTTTTTCGAGATTTATAAACGATCAAATTTTACTTCTCACCATTTCGAAAGGCCAGAGTTTCTGACATCTAAGGAGGGGCATTTGGCGGTGCAAATTGCGTCTACCATGTATTTATTTGTTCATGTTCTCATAACCTGATTTCAATTAGCTATTATAAAATAATTATCCTATTTGTTTCATAGACAATTATCCGTGAATCATTATCAAAAAACGGGTATGAATTCTCAATCAGTAAATTCTGAAGCTACCTGGGTAAATTCGTGGAAACCCTGCTAAAAGGTATTATTAATCGCATTAAAAATCTGGTATATGAAAAGTAAGTGATTATATATTTTCAAATGTTCGATCATTTTGTGCAAATGTCCTCCTATCACTCCCCAAATATTACACCATTTAAGCACTTTAAGTACAACCGTGGATTATCTTGACTATCAAAAGGAGAATGGAGAAATCTGCAAAATTAAGCCAGATGGGACTATATATTTTGTTATCCCCGAAATGCATTTTCCAATTGGATTCCTTGAAGGTCAGAAGCCGTACCTGCCAAACGCAACAAAAAAATCACAGACCGATGCAGAAAAGCTACAAAGGGAGATTAAATTGGCGCACGATTCTCTTTTGAGAGACATACAAAGCAAATATTCAGCTCGGATTTCGAAAGAAGTCGCTAAAAAAATATTTGAAATTCCATTCATCACATCTCAAATAACTGGTGAATATTTTGAAAGTCTACATTTATTATTGAACAATTTATCAACTGAATGTTTCTTTGTAGGTTCTGAAGCAATAATCTCGGTCTCAAATCGAACGCTTCATCCAATATTGACAACGTGGGAATTATGCCGGTTCCGTATTGATTTTCACAAGTTAGAAAGGATAAACGATATTCAGAAAATTTTTTCGGGAATATTCGTATTGCAGGAATTGTTTGAAAAAATAAATACGAGTTGGAATGAACTTTTTATATTTTTGGCTGATGCTCCTCAGCTACTACCAAAAAAACGCTACAATTTGTCAACAGGAATCATCCCATTTTATCATTATGCTCTGGGAGAATATGACTCTCTTGAGTATGATTACCAATTATCACAAAACAGATAATGTTAAAATATCTTGTATTTCATTACGAAATAAAGTTCTAGAATTCTTGGACTAGTACTTAGCGATATACTTTTTATGTTGGTATATGCTGATATGTGACTGACTTTCAAGGAGGTTAAGTATGTATTTCATTTTAGCAATATAATTAAAGCATAAATGAATTGAAGAGGGATATACGATTTTATCAAGGTGCAATTGAGAGAAAAAAAAAGCCCAGAAATATCAAATTTTTACCGGGTCGGGATAGGTTAATCGGTAAAGAGTATTACATCGTAGTATACTAAAAAGCGGTTTAAGTATTACAAGGCTCGATAATCTTATAAAAGAAAAAGCCATAATCGATTCATAAAATTTTTGGTCGGGTCTAGTCAAAAAATAAATCACATTTTGCCAATGATTATGGTGTTTCTAATAAAAATAAAAAGGAATGTTTATTCTAAAATTTTTGTATCATATAATTAATATTTCTATTTAAATTTCAATTATTTTTTACCAATTTACATAATCACGTTAAAATAAAAAGTTGGAGTCCAGCGGACTCCCTTCTTTATTTCATAAAAAAATATTGTCGGGATGAAAACCTTACAAATAAAAAAATTTTTACAATTTTACTACGTATATTAAAAGGTTATAAACCACCGTTAAGCCACTGTTGAAGTGATGTTGGCTTTTTCATAATAAATATATGTAAAATCGCTAAGCCACAGTTAAAGTGCTGTTCAAAATAAGCGAAATTTAAATTATTTTGACGCATGTGTTAAAATAAAGCCACACATGTATGTTATTTATGATATTTCTTTGTTCGTATCCACAGCCCTTATTCTAAATTTGTACGTATACTGTATACGTACTAACAAAATGTTTGTTGAATTTCGTAGACGCATGTTGATTGAACATCTTATACCGATACGCATATGCTTTATTTAAAATTCGGTACAAGAAGAGTATGGATATTTATAGCTTATCAGGTAATCTACCCCTTAACGTTAAAAACAAATATGAGGCTAACAATTATGCAAACACGTACAATATCGATATGGGGTTAATTGTTATGTATAAGGTGGTATTCTCTTATATAAATCTTTTTTTGTAAAATTTTTGATTTTTTTTTTACTAATAATACACTTTCTTCTCCTTTTTACACTAGGTTGTTTTTGTGTTGATAAGATGACTTCTATAGCTACTTGACATAAGTTTGCTTTGGTGAGTTGTGTGATTGAACATGCACATAATCTTCTTGTTTTAACAGAACAGATAGCTCAGTGCTTTGGTGATAGTAGTTCATTTGTTTCACAAAAAATATGCAATCTAGCTGTCTTCTAATAATATAGTCTTCTTCAGTCAAACAAAAAATTTCATTTCTAAAGTGATAGGGTTTCTAATTATGTATCTTTTATATTAGAGAAATAATATAATATAGGGATTTGCATTAAATGGTTTAGAATTTATATACTTCTTCCCTTGAAAGCATGTCATATATTTCATTTATTTTTCTATATATTATTAAAAACATTATTACAAAGAACACGATTGTCAGACTATTATTTTCTATATAGTAAAGAAAAGAAGACCCAATGAGCTTCCTGTGTTTAGTCCACTAAGCTACAAAATGAAAAATAGTTTAAAAGTATCCATCTTATTTTTTGTTATACTTTCCTAATAGTTATACAAAAAATACTGTTTTGAGGACATGATTGTCAAATTATAATTGTTTACGTAGCAAGGAGAGGAAGACCTGATAAGCTTTCTGCAGTTTAGTCTAATAAGCTATAGGATAAGAATAGTTTGAAAGTATCCATCTTGTTTTTTATTTATTATACTTCTTGCTAGGATAGTCATGTAAAAAATTTTATCTAACTTTAGATGATAGGGCTTTTGACTTCATATATCTAATCGATATTCATTTATTACAATACCTCTCGCAAAAATTGAATCCGAAATTAAGAAAATATTAAGTTAATAAAATCTAATAGGTCTATAAACTGTATAATCATTAAAAAAATTATTGTCAAATAATCCTAAATATGTCAAGTCTTAGTATTTTTATTATTATCGACAAAAAAGATAAAACACTACCTAAACTTTTTAACAACCGTTCTGGGTATGATATGAGGTATATACAATCATATGTCTTAAATTATTATAGTTATGATGGTAAACAACTTGAATGACTTTATATAACTGAAAGATTATATGACAACTTGTCTATTATAAGACAGAATAAAAATCTTATTCAATAGGCAATATGAGTTAGAATCAATCTTTAAGATTTGTTATTTCAACAAAAATTTAGTGTATATCACTAATTCTGCTTATTTACTTCTTATTCTGAAAGTAAGTTAGAAGATTTTAATTATTATAGATCCAAACCATTCAAAAATAGAACTGTGATTTGCTTTGGATGTTGAAAAGTAATTCATGTTAATGTTAATATAAAACCTAGAAAGATATATCACTTCTCAAGAAGTAGATATGTAGAAATTCTTGAATCTAGCAATTTGATGATGGAACATTAGAATCATGAATGTGATAAACCAAAAACTGATTTTGGGTATACTCAGATTATACAAAAAATATTTCACTGATTCAAAGAAAGAGAACCATCAAATGCACGAATTGCTTGGAACAGTTTGGCAAATAATAACACTTTCAATAAGAAAAAATTTCTAGGTTTAACTTCTTGCAAAGTGAAAACCCAATTTCTCTAGATCAAATTAAAATGCGTCTTAATAAGAAATATGGCGAGTATATAAAAAAATATAATAAACTTCTATATATTGCTGAATTTGAAATTAGTAGATATCAGGAATATATTATTCTATATGATTGGATAAGTAGAAAGAAAAACCAATTACAGAATAGATTTCAAGAGCATCATTTAGAACTTGAAATATAAATAAAATCAATTTATTAATATAATATTTTTTGTAGATAGGTAGTTGTCTACCATTTTTCTAATGCTATTCTTGAGAGTGGTAAGCCATTGTTTCACAATAAGCCATAAGTCTCTGACTCATCACAATTGGATATGCATGAAGTGAATAAAAATTTATGAAATACAAACTATAACATTATAGACTTTTCATTTTGATTTTTCAGGTTCAGAATTTGTGGGCTCCATAGATAATGCATTTTTTGTCTTATGCTTTTGACGTAATTTTATTTCTTTCTGCAAATCTAATGGCATATCGAACCTCAACTGGATTGCAAGTAGATTGTCCTTTGCTCTATTAAGGTCAAATACAATAAACTCACTCTTGCGAAGATAACTATTAATGACCATTAATACACTTTTTACATCATTAGTATACCAACCAACAATTTTGAAAACATCTTGAGAAGAACTAGCACTGTTAAACATTAATATATGAGAAAGTTCTCACTTATAATCATTAGGACATGATGGTATTTTTGCGTAGTAAATATAGATGAAATATTCTGATGACATCCATGTATAAAAAATAGGATAATTCAATTTTGTATAGACTCAGGGGCAACACATAAATCTTCAAAGATAATAACAGTACTTCTTTCAGGAGAGAAAGATTTTACATTAGGAATTTTTTTAGATAAGATATAACTAAATATAATATTTTTGTAATATGATGTTCTTGGATTACTTGTAATTATTTTATACATATATCTAACAAAAGCCTATTTTGGTTCATCAGGATGGTATCCACAAACTATCAAATCATCACACTATATATATCTAGATCCACTCTTTTTCTTTTTATATATATATTTAGCTTTGTCACCAAGAACAAGATTTCTGAGTATATTAGTCTTACCTGTGTCACTTTTTTCTGTAACTAGCTTAGCAAATGGCCATAACATTGCTAGATGCCCAATACAGTGTAATGAAGCATGCTTTGTAGCCTCATCAATATCTATAAAGAAAAGTTTCATTAAAGGTAATCCTGTCTTTGAGTTTTTCTACATGACAGATTGGGAATTCATAACTCTCTTTTCTATAGACTGGATAAAAATTTTCTTCCTCCTGATAATTCACTTCACTTTGTTTGTTTATGATCAGTTTATATATTTCAGAAAACAAATTACCAGAGGCAGTCATACTGTGGGTATAATCTAGCTTTGAGTTTAAAGAATGAGAAGGCGGAGTTGGACGAAAAATTTGTCTGTATATATACCATATAATTAATAATATTATCAAGGCATAAATAACAAACTTAATAGGAATAATTTGATACTTATTAACTGTGCTAGCACCTAATGCTATAATAGATAATTCCTCACTTCTTCCTATTGTAATATTATAAGATCTAATCAGAGTCATATTCTATATCTCTTGAAATTGGTTTTCTGTATTAATTGGTTGTAATATATTATCTTTATTATTTTTGTTAATAATAGTTTCATCACTTACTTTAGAAGTAACCTCAGTATTGATTTTTGAAGATTCTAATATTGGAACAATTTTATCATTAGTATAAGTCAGTATATTAGTGCTAATTTTTTTGACTTTATTTATAATTTTTCTACATGCAAAATATTGACTGAGATTTTTGCTAGTTTTACTAACTGCAGAAATATTATTATTGCAAAGCAATGATGACACAGAGCAAGGCTTAGCTTCTTCCTCTTTGGGTCTAGACTTTGATATATTTTTTTCACTATCTCCACCAACCACAGATACCAAAATATCCTCTGATTTTAGATGCTCAAACTTACTGATTTTAGAATCTAATTCAATCTTTATATTCACCAATTTAGCTTTGAGGAACATTATTTTAGAATCTTTTTTTAATAAGTATTTCTGAATTAAAGATAATTCTTCTTCCAATGACTTGATTCTAGATTAGAATGAATTTGCTTCTTTCAGTTTACTATAATATTTGGCTTTATACTCAGTAAAATTGATATTTTTGCTTTTCAACTCTTTAATTTCTTCTTTGAGTTGTTTTTTAATCAAGTCATTTTGATTTTTGTCATTAATGTACCAATTTAATTTTTTCTGAAGATGTAAAATCTTGTCATTTTTTTTCTCTAGCTCTTTAGTAATCACATCAGATCACTCTTCTGCAAAAGCTTTAGCATTTCTAAATTTGGAACATTTATTAGCGAAAAATTCAGTTTTAAGAAGCAACTTATTGTATCGAGATTCAAGTTCATATTCTCTACTATCTAATTTATATTCACATTCTTGAAAATTTTTGGCATCAGTAAATTCACTATACAAAGTATGTATTGGTGCCATATAATCGAAGAGAATTATGTTCAAAGAAAAAAAACTAATCGCAATTTGACTTTTTACTAATTATGAATAAAAAGAAATCCAGATAATAATTGGTATTTAATTAGGCAATAATTAGGTAAAAGTTAGTAATTAGCTGGGCAAAAATTGATACTTAGCTAGGCATAAAATAATAATTAACCAGTTTTATATGAAAATAGATCTATAATCAAGTCAGTACTAATTATTTTTTGGTTTTTGTTTAATTTGTGTCTGATTATTGTCTGATTATTACTCAGTTTTTATCTAATTATATACTAGAAATGAATAGATATTTTCCTAGATTTAAATTGGATATTTTTTTAATATCATTATATATTTTTATAAAATGGTTAAAACCAAAGGTAAATCTTGAGTTCAACAATATCTTAACTCTACTGCTACTTTATTAACTCCTGAAGTAATTGAAAAAATAAGGGATGCTTATGCAAAACAGATACCAAATAGAAAACACATTATGTATACTACAGTTGGGGAATATACCAAATTTGGGTTATAGACGATCACACCTTATTTGGCAATGATCGACCATAAGACTATTCTAGACTTTTCTTTCAAATATTCCAAGAAAGCAAATTTAAATTTTTACTACATCACTATACCAAACTTTTATCAGTAAAATAACAGTAATGTAAATTACCAAAGAACTTTAATATTTATTTGGCATCTAACTATAATGAGTATATCTGGTTCAAAATTTAATTATACTGTGGCAGATTGTTTTAAAAACAATAGCTTGCAATTATAGTCTTAGTTATTATTTTAAATTTCGTTTAATATAAAAATTTAAAAATAAACTCATACAATGTTGTATTACGGCTTGTCTAAAGTATGAATACAATATAAGCATAAATAATATATTATGTTCATCCTTTTTGACGCCAATTGCATTTCGATAACGATATCCAACCTTAAATGAGTGATGCCAAGGGAAAACCAAACTTCAATCATATAAAAATTTATATGATCGAAGTCTGGATTTCCATTGGCATCACTCAAATGATCGATTAATATGTTCATTTCAGTAGATTTTTAAAATAAATGAATGCTTTGTTTTCGTCCTTTCAATAAAACAATATAATTATGTCAGCATTACCTATTTGTATAGGCTTTAATAACATTTCAATCATTTCATATTTACCTTAATAACCCCAATTCCGTTTTGATAGCAATGGCCAAGGTTAGATTTTCCATTAGTATGACCCATCTCAGCGAACTTTTGATAATATTTGAGTTCTTAGTGACATGACGTTGAACATCTCTTGCGTTCATAGTCAGCTTCATAAAAATCGAATATTGTCGCGAAGGAGCCCTACTTTTTTGTTTAATACGCATTTTCAAATCAAAATAAAAGCTTAATATAAAAAATGATTCGTCTATTTGGTCCTCTTTCCGTTCCTGTCATCAATACAGTATTTAAAAAAAATCTCAATCATAAATTATGCGTATTTGTTATAATAAAGAAATACCTGAACTAAATTTTTTGTACCCATTATTACCAAGTATAGCTAGGAATACGCACCATTAAATAAAAAAGAATTAAAATACATTTTGGTAAGTGTAAATAAATCATATAACAAAAAAAAAAAACTTTCAATATGAGATCTTTACTAGGATAATCAGGATTCAAATCATATGATTCAGATACGACTTCCTAGCAAAGAACCCATATATTTTCGTTACATGAATAAAAATATAAATACTTAACTTTGGCAATACAAATGATGGATCAAACGAAAGTTCTCTAGTGATTATCTTAGGACCAGGCATGGCACATATTTAATAATCGTAATCAGATATTTAATAGTACCGTGCCTGGCACTTGTGGAATCCTTAATAATAAGTCGTTAGTTAATAAATTAACATTGGTTTTTTATAAAAACTTATAAATAAATTGAGTACTTGCATTCTGGATTTATTAGCCACAGTTGTGTTGTAAGTTGAAGTATCATCATAATCTAATCGTAATACATTAATAAAAAAGTTAGCCAGTTGGTGAATATTTAATTTTACATTAATTTATATAATTTAAAATGTTTTTTTCAAAAATAAATAAATAAATAAAATAAAATAAAAAACTGAAATAAAAATAAAATAAATAAGGTAAAATTAAAATTAAAAATAAAATCAGAAAAAAATAGGAAAACTTGCAAAAAAATAACCTGGGACTATGTAGATTTTTATAAATAAAGTTTAAATTTGCTAGTCATTCAATGATTCAATTGAATGGCTAGTAAGCTTAAACTCTATTCATAAAATCTATATAGTCCCAGAGAATCATATCTTTATACTTAATTCTTTATGCTATTAATTAGGAGTATAAATGTTGTAAGTAAAAATAAACTAAAATTGATTTGGAATGGAATTTGATAACTACATTTAAAATCTAATTCTTACCCTAACTTTAATAATTCCAAATCGATTTGAATTCCATTTCTACCTACAACATATAAATATATTATTATTACAATTATAATGATTCTTGCTCGTTTGTCTCCAAATCTTCTAAGCAGTCTTGGTCGTTAAGTGCATTATCAGAATCGAATAGGCTCTTTACTTCTTGCAGAATATCTAATAATTCACTCCGCTTTTTCGACTTTAACTTTGAATATTTTTTCTTGGCGCTTTCATGAAGTTTGAGAAGAGCGTCAATTTTCAACAATATCTCAGCTTTAGTCAAGTTTTCTTCATTTTCTTGAGCTTCAGCTTCTTGTCTCGTAATCGTTATTGATCTAAATGAATAGGAATTATTTTTATTAATAAATGTTTCAGTAATAAAATATTGTCGAGCTTGCCTAGCCAAATATGTAAAATTTTTTAAATTTTTGTCCAATTCGCATTCTTCATCCAGACTTCGACAAATTGATCTTGAATTCACTGGATTTACAAATTCAAGACGCCGCAAAAGTGTCCGAAATCTTTGGCATTCCATGGTTGATTCTGGCCGAACCCTTGGTCCAGATAGCTGATATTCATTATACCCAATTACTTTAAACAAATTTTTTCTAAGCTAGTATTCATTACAAGTTAGATTTCATTAATTGCAATACTGTAATTACTGAATTAATAAAAATTAATATTACATTTACCTCCAAAAATTTCTTACAGTTACGTGCAGCGATTATCCAATGATGATGTTGTGGAATAGGTGGTATTAAGGATTTTAAGGTCTTGTTCACCTCTTCAATAATCACATCTAGGCCCTGATGTTAATTATAAAGACCTGACCGAGAAACAACGCTATTTTCCTCTAAAATATTATGTATTTCAGGATAAAGTCGCATTAATTGGATCTCATCGGCAGCTTCCAATAAGTAGTAAATTGGATGGCGTCTTGCAGACCAAACCGGAGAAAATGCTCTTCTAGCAGTCCTTTTTAAAATCGGATTGTTGGTTCTTATAGCCTTTCGATAATTAATTATCACTTGGAGGTATAAGAACGTCTATTATAAAAAATTTTACTTAAAATATTAGCTTTTATAAAACTATTATTCATAATATAAATAACTGACTTGTTCATATTTTATCCGGTAAAATGAATCTTGCTGTTCTTTAACCCACGCAAGATATTCTTCAACTGACAAATCAGGACAACTTTTTACATATGGTTATAAAAGTTCCATGGCCATTGCTTGACGATATATATTGCAAATGGAATCCCAGGATTTATGATGGTCTACGCATTTCTTAAAATAAGCAAACTGATTTTCAGTCTGATAGCCTTGACTTATCGCAAATCGCTTTAGATCAATTTCCCTAATATCAAATTAAAAAAAAAATTTAAGAATTATTATAAAACAAAAAAATTTAAATACACAAATAATTTACCAGTTCAACTCTATATATGCACGAAGCATATTCATTTCTTCGTGTAATTGTCCTAGTATGAGAACTAACCAAGGAAACTTTGCTTTTAATTTAGTAGCATGGTGGTATGGAACACCGTCACAAGTTACGATCACCTATTTATGAGTTCCATCCCTAATACCTGATATTAACTCGATATGTAAAAGTATCTTTTCAACATTTGCAATTGAATTTGGATTAATATTAACGGGATCAGAAATATAAATCTCAGGAATATTAACTTCCTCATCAGCAACTTGTTGAGTAAGACTAATCGTAGGGACACACGTGAAACTTTGCTCTTCAGGAATTCTATAAGATCTAAAAGTTAGCAAATTAGTTAATTGATCAATTGTGTTATTTTTGGCTTTAATTTCTTTTTTTTTTGAATTTCAGATAAAGTTAGTAGCTGAGTTTTGCAATTTGGACATGTTTTTTTTCGATTCTCAATATATTGCAAATTGCAGCCGGGACATGACTTCATCTTAGTGATATCGGTTGACATAGACGCTACAAGAGAATCGATAGTATAAGTAGATGATAATTTTTCTTCGACCAATAATGTAATAATCTCAGCAAGATAAGTGTGTAGCTCCTTGTCAATAACTTCTTGCATCTGTGTACTGATGTCAAAAAGTTCTTCGTATTGCAATCTGCTAAGAGAATTAAATATCCAAGGTGAATTAGTATGTTGAATTTTATTTTGTAACGACATATTAAAAACAATGAAACTGGTAACGATATGGTAAATAACCGTGTTGAACCCTCGATCTAGGTAATTTTTTTGCCCTCTTTGCTCGTTATCAAATGCAAAAAATAAAAGGCCCTCAGGCAATGGTTCCTCTTGTTTTGATAATTCATTTTGCCACTTCAAAAATCGAGTATAGCTTCCGGAACTTGTTATGTGATTATCTATATCAATAACCATCTTTGACTGTGCAATTGAATATTTGATAGCAGATGTGGCAAAATGAATTTCTGACATGTATTTTCTGTGCCGAGCTCCATATATTGAATCGACAGCAATGGCAGCTTTGAAAAGCTTTTCCGGACTTAGTATATTAGCAGCATAATTATTCTGAATCAGAGTCTCGACAAATTTGACAATAACTTGATTGCGACTATTGAGCCATTCACGTGGGCTATATACCATGAGATTCTCCAAAGAAAACCTATTGCTATTTTAGATCAAAATATCTAGATCATTGAATAATGGCACGCGTTCAGCTTTCGCTATTTCAATAATTGCGTCTATATGTTTTTGCTGGCTAGAAAATCTTAAATTCCACTGTTTGGTAAGAATCTTATTACTTTCGCATTCCTTTTCGTACAAATCTCATATTACAAACATATCGTCATAGGACTTTTGTAGCCGCTCTTTCAATTCTTCTATTTCGATTCTTTGATTTTCTATGTACTGATGCATCCGTTCGACCTGATTGTTGAGATCCACTATTAATTGAGACATTCGCTGATTTTCTTGTTGAGCAGTTCCTAAAAGCTTCTTAGTCCTATCCAGTTTAACCATTAGATCATCATCATTCTCAATCTGGGATCTTTTGTTTTCTTGAGGAGAATTCGAGGAACCCAAAGAACCTACAAGATGCTCATAAAACTGAGGATTAGCAAAAAGTTTATTATAATGTGTTTCACAAATCAAATATTTTTCAACAGGGTGAGGAAGGTTGGTAAGTTCGGGAAAATAACTATAATAATGATTAAGCCATTCAAGTGTTTTTGGACCCTTAAAACTTCGCCATTTTTGAGATTCTTTCGTTCCACAAGAGCTTAACTCAATGTTACTATAATTTTTAACTAAACCTGCGAAAATACATCCTAGTTCTTCCATTCTTGACTTTCGATAACTGGAAAATATATAAATACTATTTAATTTACTGCTTATTATCAAAAATACGTTTTTTAGTTTCTTTTCACTTAACAATGCACAAGAAAAGTTCTTAAATTTATGATCTCATCTACCTTTTTGAAAACAAATTACTATGCAGGATTATTTGGGATTATTAAAGCTTGTCACTTTTGCTATCTATTAGTATATCGTTTAGTAACGAATAGATATATGAAATACTGTAAAACCTTTAACCTGAATACAAGCTTAAAAAGGAATGTAACAGCCAATCAAATACGCGAATGTGTTTGCAGATCATTCTAGAACCCGATTTCCAAATATGGTATAATCCCTGACTGTACTAATTATAAAATTGGTAGTGAAAGATATAATGATATTGTAAATGGCCAGATATATTCTCAACTACCTGAAATAGAAATAACATCTATGAATTTATTTATCTTAATACCTCAACCAGAAATCTTGCCCATACATAGCTTATCAAGTGCCAGAAATTCTGAGCAAGTAATTTTTTTGAGCAAATCAGCAACAAAAAAGACTAGCAGAAAAAAGAAAGTCTCACAGAATGAGGAACTTTCTAGTTCTAATATTGATAAAACAAACTCTGGTGTGAAATTATCTAAAGGTGAAGATGGATCAGAATCAAAAACTATAAATCATTCTATCTTATCAATACCAGGAAGTGATGTGCAAGCTAGAATAGAAAATTTACAAGAATATAAAAAACAGCTTCAAGCTAAATCTTTAAATCGTATCAATTCTTTTTTAAGATATTCTGCATAATCAAGAGCTCTAATAAATTCCTTTTTAATAGTTGCTTTATTTTCTAGATTTTTCATATCTGATATGATTTGAATCTTGGAATGGAATTCTAATATGTAAAAAAAATCGATTTGTTTGTCAGAATCTATTATATTTAAAGCCATATTAAGCCATTCTTCAGTCTTTATAAGTCGCTTTTCAAGTGTGTCATATTTTTTTTTAAGTTTTCACCATTATGCATATCTGATGTTCATTGCTCTGATTCACTAACTCCTAGAGGCTTACTAAAAGTTGAGATAGTGTAAATCTTCCTATGTAACTTTATTTGAAATTAGTTTTTACTAGAGTCAAGAACACTATGAACCTTTCAAATTCATGTCATACCTATACATAGCATTGGCTCAGATTCATCATTATTAATACAAGCAAAATTTCTAGTAGATATAACAATCTTATTATCTTTGTCCTTTACACTAATTGGCACATCTGTATACCATCCTAATAATTCAGATATATGTTTGAAATTGCCCTTTATAGTAAAGTCAGAAGGCTTATCAGCTTTCTACTTCAGAGCATTAATTGTTGCATTATTCACTCTTCCAAATTCACTTGTGCTATCTAAAAAGGAATTAGTGATTAATAGATCATTTATATTATAATGCAAGTATTGCAATGATGAAAACCATTCATCTAATTTTAATTCTTTTTTCTGGACTATATGAAACTGACACATTTTATACATTGCTGGTGAAAACTTTGGTAATAGTTCATTGTATGTTTCAGGCTAACTAAGTTCTGAAAGCATTTTTTCATTTACTAGTACTTGTTTTTTTTTCTAACTGAGATGGAGCATGCTATCTATTCTCTTCCTCATTATATTCACCTTTACCATCCTTATTATCATCTGAATCAAAAGATGCATATTGGGATTGGGAAGGTATTAGAGGAGAAAAGTATTGATTTGTTAAATTTGATTTAGCTATGGGTTTTTTGGATTAATTTTCAAGCATTATCCTCTCAAATTGAGATGTCATTTGATTGATTTTATCTACTTTTGATTTTATTCTATCTATTCTAACATTCTGGTTTGGTAAATATATTCATTCCGGATAAGGTTTTTGAAAAGGCTTTATAGAATAATTTCTGTTGAAATCTTCTGTACTAAATATACTTAAATTATATAAATATTGTGTTAAGTTATAATTTTCTATATCTTTTTTTGTTTGTAATAAAAGTGGTGGACCTCTTGGCTGTCTAACTGGTTTGACAGTTTGTGAAGCTGGTGCTTGTGCTTTTTGAGCAACTGCTTGCTAGACTATTTGTAATTAAAAATTAGCTTTTTGCTTTTCTAATAAAGACTGATATTTAGTTTTTTCTTGTGCCAATGCATTTTGGATTGCTTTTTGCATATCTTCTAAAAAAATTCCTTGCTGTTGAGAAGCTGGAATGGGTAAGGGTTCATATATTTCTCAAGATGCTTGTTAAGATACTAGTAGATCAGGTATTTTATCTCTTTTATGTCTAGCAATTCATTATAACTCTATCTTATAAAGTTTTTTAGCTAATTCATCTAATGGCAAATGTTTATCGATATCCTTGGCTTTTGTAAGCCATGGAATAGGAAGAGCATCTAAGAACTTATTACGTAATTCATTAGCTTATAGTTAGCTCATCTATCTATTTGAATTAATTTTCTATATAATTCATCTATAGTCATATTTCCTTTTCTAATTGTTCTATATTGCAAATCCCAAAGCTTCTCTTCCACTGTAGGAAAATGTATTTTTAGCCACTATATGGCTTGACCGAAATGAATGCCAGCTACAACTACTGTAGTACCATTATTAGCATTTGGTGCATTAACAGCAATGTTAGTAGAACAACTATCTGCTATGTGCCAATCTTTATCTCAAGGACCCTCTACAGCTCTTAATTTGACTATTGCATTATTAGGTTGACCAAGTGTTTCATTCAATGCTTAATTTCCTATTTGAACTACTGTTCTTCTATTTACAGTTACTAAGTTGGCCTGCCCTATATTATCAAGTAAGTTTGCTAATTCCTAATTCTGTTTTGTAGTAATCTCTTTGTCAAATCATTCTAAAGCTCTTCCTTTCATACATTCTCTTAAATATCCTATAGCTACTTCTCTTTCTGTTGGTAGACCTCTCACATTATCTGCTGGATTTACTTCTTGGTTTTGCAAGTAATCTAAGTTTTGCAAGAAAATCTAATATATCTTCACCTCAGTCAAAAAATAGTTGTGGTATTCCTGCCATTCTTATTCATTGTATATTAGGTAGATTATTCTGTAGCACAAAAATTTGTTGATTTAAAATTAAAATATTTTGGTGCTCTGCATGAGTCTTATTTTTCCACTTCTTATATCATTTATATAACCTATTTTGATTATATTCTAGCAAAGCTTTATTGGCTTTACATCATTGTAGGTAGTAGGCATTTCACTAATACAATAACTAGAAAGCAAAATTTTCATATAGCAATGTACCAATACAGGTTTGCTTTATTGTTATATTATTTATCATTCTGTTTACTTGATTTTAAGCATTAGTTCATAACTAATAAAGTTTAAGCAATGCCTGGTCTCACTCCTGTCTGTATATATCACGATTCCATTGTTCGTTTATCAGATCTTGTTGCAGGTTAGTATATTTATGTTGAATTGCTCTTGTTGATCTTTTAATTTGATTTGTTAAAATAGTTCTATATATTGTTATATTATCTAGAGATCAGTCTATAGCATTAGCCAATTCAGCTATTATATCTATATTATCAGAATTATATAAGTTTGGAGAATTTTCATCAGAATCATATTCATTTTCACCAAAATTCCATACCTGTGCATTTTGTAAAGCCTCTTGTGTATTTCTAAGCTCTAATCTATCTCGATATCTTAATAATGCTAATGCAAAATTTTGACAAAGCAGGTCTGTAATATGATTTTTTTGCTAATTTATTTTATTAATCCTATTTATTTGATTAACTCTTATTGTACTTATTTCTCATTTAAGTCACTCATTTTCATTCACTAATCTTGTTATATAATCTTATGCTTTAGGGATATTGCCAGCTGATTTTAATATTTCACAAATTCTGGTTTTTAATTTTGTCTCTCATTCATCGAATTCTGTTATTAATTTATCTTTATTAGTGATTTCTTTGTCTTTCTTTTTATTTTCTTCTTCGAGTTAATGAACAATTTTTTTAAGTTTTAGATTTCTTCTAACAATTCCTCTTTGTCTTGTCTAGAAAGTTCGATAGCATTATTTAGTTCTTCTTTAAAAAATCAAATTATCTCTTCGTGTACACCAATAGCTTTTTTCAAGTTGTATACACATTTTTTAATATCTCTGTTTAATTGAGCCAATTGTGAGATTACCTCATGAAGCTTTTGATTAGTTTGTTGTAACTCTTTCATGTTTTTTATTACTATAATAAAACAAAAAAATGGCAAAACCTGTAATTTATATAGATTTACAAAAAGCATATGAACTTGATCGAGAAATCGCAAGACTAAAAAAGTTAAAGATCAAAATTTGTCATTACAAAAACCTATAATTATTATTGATCCCCAAAAAGCATATGATCTTGACTGACATTTTGCTTTACAGAAGCTGTATTATTAGCCTGAGGATCTTTATTAAAATGTTAAGGAATTGTGGAATACTTGTAAGAAAGCTGGCCATAACTTTCTATTTAATGATATAAAAAAATGGCTTAATAGCTAAGCAATGTATCAAATCTTTTGGCCTTCACCGAGACAAATACCTTATGCTAGTTACTCTAAAATCACAAAGCCAAATACTGTACACTAGTATGATCTGATTGAAATACCATATAATGTAAATACAGATTTACTAGATAATAACTCAATATTTTACTATGTATTATTAGTTATAAACTGTGCAACTAAATATAAAGATTTTGTTTTTTTAACATCAAAGAGTAGTGAAGAAGTTGCAGAAGCATTTAAGAGTATATATGATAACCCTGACAACCCTTTTAACTGGCTTTGACTATTGCAATCTAATCAAGATCATGAGTTTATAAGAAATGTGACATTGATAATGAATGAACATAATGTTAATATTCGAAGAATTAAAGCACATTTTAGACATACAAGCATGGCTATGGTTGATTGTTATACCAGATTATTTGAATTAAGAGTTTTTAAAAACCAATATATGATAGAGTTTCTCTTACCTACTAGTGAACTCTGTAGATAATTTGAACAGTTTGCACGAAAGATTGTTGACAATATGAATGATACTCCAACTCGACTAATTGAAATGAGTCCTAATAATGTTATGAAACTTGAGCAGATATATTCTAAGCCATCAGTAAAATATAATTGTTCAATAGGTATTAATGAATCACAACTACCAAAGGGTACTATTGTGTGATTCTTACTTGCTAAAGAAGAATGAGAAAATGATCCCTTTGAATAATTCAGAATAACAGATCCCATATGGTTACCTTTCTTATATAAAATTCAAAAAATTGTTGTTGAAAGAAATCCACTAATGCCTGTCTTATACTATTTAGATGAATTGGAACCTTAGCATCTCTTTGTAAGAGAACAATTAATGCATATTAAGGAAGAGCCTATGTTACCCCCTAGATGGGTATTGGGAGATAACCGAATGTATACAAGATGCTTTTTATAAAAGTTTCTAAGTCAACTATGCAATAGGGTATTGTAATAAGGATTACTTCTTCTCTATAACACAATGTTCTTTTTTTCCAATTACACCAAATTTGTATATCTAGATTCATCTGCCCTTGTAGGTAAAAAAAAGGAATGATTTGATAATATTGATTATCATTATATTCAAAAGCCAAGCCTAGCTCTTTATTGTATCCATCTAGATGTAATCCCTTCATGAATTTAGGTTTTCTAGATAAGAATTTTTTATTTAATAAATTCTCAAATATATATTAGCATGTTCTTTCTGATACATTGAGACAACTATTGCACCACCTATAATTTCGGTTCAAATCTTTATAGAATGCTTCTCATTAATGCTAATTTTTACAAACCTATAAATAAATATTAGGGTTTGATCTAACTTTAGCCAAGCATTGTCCTTCACGTCTTTTGGCACAAGTAAGGGCTTTAGTATCAATTTCATTATAATTTTGCATTTTTATAATATTAGAATTTAACTTAAATATTTTAGTTATTATACCCTGAGAGTATCACTTTTTTTCGAACTTGAGAAAAAAAAAGAAAAAAAAGCACGAGAGTATGAGTGAGGCTGACTTCTTAGAATATAAACAAAATTTTGAAACTAAGATGAGCATACTTACTACTCTATATAAAAAAGAATTGAAAAATAAATCTTTAGCCCTCATTGAATATGTGTAATTATTGTACAATCTAATTAAGTAGTATATCTTTGATAGAAGGTATATTGCTACATTTCAGGTAAGACCATTTTTGTTACCTCTTACAATAAGTGCTGTAAAAAATCCAAATTGAAAATTAGGTAGGTAACTATGATCATTTTTGTGTTGCATAATTTTGATTGAAATGCAGTTCATATATAGAGTAAGTAAATTCAATCAATAACTATTTTTGTATCGCAAAATTTTTAATAATGGGCCAAATTCAGAATATAAGATTGCATAGATAAAATCATTGTCTGATCAAGGTATAATTACTAATCTTATAAAGTGCACTTTGGATAGACACAAAATGTATATATAATTTAAAAAAAATTTAGTGTTTAGTTAAGGTATAATTTCATAGAAAGAATAGTTATACTTTTAATAAACACAAAATGTATACATAATTCGAAAAAAAATTGGTCTCTAGTTAAGGTATAATTTAAAGAAAATTAGTGTCTGGTCAAGGTAAAATTATTAGAGAAAGGGTGATTAGATATAACATATACTATTTTGATTACATAATTTGAAAAAAAACAGCATCCACCCAAGGTAAAATTATTACAGATATATATTATAAAAAATTATACTTTGGGTAAACACAAAATAAATGATAACAATTTGGCACTATGTGTAGGCATAGCCCTCACACTGAACCCACAAATGACAACACATGACTGAATGCATCATTAGCAAAGGAAAATCGGTATTTACCTAAGATAAAATTATTACAGATATATATTATAAAAAATTATGCTTTGGGTGAACGTGCGACTAAATGCATCATTAGCATATTTTTTATAGATTGTAAGGTATCTAAATGTGATGATGCAAATATAAAATCGTCATCATAATTTTTATAGATTGTGAGATATCCAAGTGTGACGATGCAAGTGTGAACTAATTGTCACTCGAATGATGATGAACTCGTGAACTAATTGTTACTCAAATGACGATGCAAGCATAAATCATTTGTCACTCGAATGATACTCAAGTGTAAATCATTCATCACTTGAATAATGATGCAAACATGAATCATTTATTACTTGAATGATGATGCAAGTGTGAACCATTCATTACTTAAATAATGATGCAAGCATAAATCATTCATTACTCAAATGATGACATAAGCATGAATTATTCATCACTCGAATAATGATGCAAGCACAAATTGTTCATTACTCTTATAAGTAGGTAACAGTCTAATATAAGTAGGCAGCAATATATATATATTGCTGTCTACTAAATATTGTTAAACAGAAAGCTCAGCTAGCACAGTCTACTCCTAACTTTATACTATACCATCTTAATATATATGTTCTAAATAACACTTTACAATATTTAACAACAATAGCAAATTTGAACATTAGATTGAAGTATTAATTCTTTTAACTTTGACACCTATAGTTTAAAATTTTAATTATAACAAATTCAAAATGCAGCTAATTCAAACAAATCAATTTTATTAGAACAATCTATACTAATTACAAATGAAGTTAAAACAAATATAGCTTAAATAATACTTACACTTTACTTATTAAATATCTAGCTAAAATGCATAGTTTACCTATGACCTATTTTTAAACAAACAAAAGGCACATCTATCAACCAAATCCTTTATTTAATAAAGCAACCATACTCAATCAAAAAAAAATTAAATAACTACAACATAACCTGTATTGAACAATTTCTTAACTACTTGAACTACAAAATTCTAGATTAGATATTATTTCATTATAATATACAAAAAATACTAAAAAAAAAAATACCAAAATGTGTTTAAAGCAATTACTGATACTAT